GGATAACAGAAAGCAAAAGCAGGAATAGAGTAAAAAAGCAAAATCACATAACATGCTCTTGCAAGTTTTGCTATACTAGGTCTTGTTAGTATATTTATATTTTTAAGTGTTAAAATTGGAAAAATCTATGTTTGACTTAGTTAGACAAAGAAAAATAATTTTTTTAAAAAAAAACAATTGAAACAAAATGATCCCACTGAGTATACAAAGTTATCTGATCCACATAAAACACTCAAGTTTTTGTAGACAAGAGGTTTCTTATGCTTGAACCACAGGCCCCTCAGGACAGGGCTTACATCAGAGCAGTAAGTGACCAAGAAGCAGAAGGAAGAAATTTTGATAGTTCAAAATAATTAATTTGCATGTGTTACAGTGTTATTGTTTCCAAACCAAATAAACAGTAATTATTTGCTGTTTATATAACCGGAGCCTAGATTCGTGATGGTATTTAGAAATCTTTGGGGAAAAAATGTGTGTGTCTTGGAGGGACCGAGAGGGTAGTGGGGAAGGATGCCTGTGTAGTTCTTAAAATGTGAATGATACTCCTTCTTTAATGCCTATTAAGGCAGAGGAAAGAAGTGAAAACTTCTGTAGGAATTACATCAAAAGTAAGAGTTAGATAAAACAGTGCAAGTGGAATGTGTTTCTCTGGAATGATGTATTCATTTCAGCAATCCCTGATGAAAGGAAAATTGCAAGGCTTGAGGCAGGTCATATCCATGAGGAAAACATAAAGTCTTTCACAGAAACTGAACCAAATAGACTGGGCAGTTTAGAGATGGTAAATTATAAACAGAAAATCTCTCTGATTACTTCTTGTTTGGTGTTGAACCAAGGTATTGGGCAGCTGAACAGCTGATCCAATTTGGCAGTTCAGCTTTCTCAAGTCCTTTGGTTTCTATTCCAGTTTTTTTAATTGTCAATTTTAATAGTGGAAGGAAATATCTGTCTAGAAGTTCAGGTAATGTATTTATGAAATATTGAAGTTTATACATCTGAAGCAAAAATGAAGGAGAAGCAGCAACTGATTAAAACTTTTGCACAAACTTCCAAAGTAGTTAAGAAGTGTCAGCATCTAAATCAATTATTAAATATGTAGGGTGAAATAGAGGAATACTTTACTGTATCTTTTTCCTCAGTAGCATTTGAATACTGCTATTTTTCTTGTTTGTTTTATCTTGTTTCATGCCAGATGTTCTTATCAGGGAAAACAATGGTGATGTGTTTTAATATTGATGAGTTGATTCTCCTGGGAATAACAGTATATCTACCTTCTCAGAATACAAATTGTGGGAGGCTTTTTATAGCGTAATTACCACAATGCATTGAATTTTAAGTGCAGCTCTTTAAAACTGTGGAAAGAACTTTCTGTTTATTATCTTCATTTTATCTGCTTTAAAATGAGAATGACTCTTCTTTTAAAATTGTGTATTGTTTTGGTGGCCTTTAAAAAGCAAACATATAAAACCAGAGGTATTGTGTAATCTGTCAAAGCAGCATATGCTTAAGCACCTTATAAACTATTAAATAAGCATAATATTTTTCTTTCCAAGTTTGTTAGTTGATTTGTTTAAGCAGTTGCAGAATGATTAAAGTACCTCGCTTTAACTTTTTTTGTCTCCTCTTTCCCTTCAGGAGCTGGAAGTACTGAAATTATAAATGATTTGGTGACGAGCTGAGCTTGCAATGCAGGCAATAAAAACCGTGGAAAAAGAGGTGACTTTTATAAAGGAAACGCTTTTCACAGAATCCTTCCTGAAGCAGCAAGAGTGCAGCAGAAGCCGGGCGAGCAGGCAGCTCCAAGAGCAGCAGCCATTGGAAGGAGCTGTCTGCAGCTCTCAGTGCTGCACTGAGCATGTCCCAGCGGAGCCCAGTGCGAGCAGCACATTATGCAAAAAGGCAGCTCTAGCAGATGGGAGAGAGGCACAGCAAGCGTTTGCTTCACTTGCATCACCACCGCTTGAAAACAAACCTGGATCGCTAGAGGGGATCTCGCCAGCAGGCCAAAGGAATGAAACCCGGGAGGATGGCCTGATTGCCGGAGGTGGTGCACTGCGAAAAATCATGGGGAATCAAGATGGGAAGCTGAAGAAAAATACAGGTGATGTGCAAGAAGGAGGAGAAGATGCCTCTGGGCCCAAGGATACGGACGGCACAAAGAAGGTATCGGGAGGCAGAAGGGGACTGGGGAAGCATGCAAAAGGAGGCGAATCGGGTAAGAAGAAGGGTAAGTCGGACTCCAGGCCCTCTGTGTTTTCAAATCTGAGGATCAGAAAAAATCTGTCCAAGGCTAAAGATGGGAATAGCAGTTCACGGGAGGATGTTTTGGAAAGCCAGGCCTTGCAGCCTGGGGAGCTGGACAGCACTCATTCAATTGTAACCAAAACTCCCGATATAAGCATCTCTGCAGACGAAGGGGGTCTCTCAGACACAGATGCTGAACATTTTGAAATCAGAAATGAAACTGTTCCAGCTGCTGCAGAGACACAGGATGGACAAAGGACCAGCTCTGGCTCTGATACGGATATATACAGTTTCCATTCAGCCGCAGAACAAGAGGATTTGCTTTCCGATATCCAGCAAGCTATTAGACTGCAGCAGCAGCAGCAGCAGGGGGCAATTAACATTGGAACTGAGGACCTCGCCACCAAAACAATGGGCCGACACATGGCTAATTCTCAGGCAACCCCCTTAGATTTTGAACGGTTTTTTTCAGTAGCTAGCACTGAGAGAGAGAAGAGCCCAGACACCGAGGGGGCTTTTCCAGCAGTATCGGACACCGTGGAAAACATTCCCGTCTCCTGTGCGACTGAACGTGAACCGACAGAAGCGGTAAATGGCACAGGCTCTCCTGGAAACGGCTCGATTGAAACACAAGAACATCAGCCACTGATTGAGGAACAGCTCGTTGCTGGAGTGGATGCTGTAGCCAGCGAACTACAAGATGGTTTGAATAGAACTGCAGTAGAAAACGGGTCTCAGACACACAGCTCCACACAACCTTTTCCAACTTCAGTGGCAGATGCCGAGGCTAAAACTGCTGAAGTGCAGGCTGTTGATTTTCAGGGCTCAGTAACAGAGGGTGGTAGTTCAGATGCAGGCCGTGATCGTGCCGCTGAGACTCAGGAAGGGAGACGCGCTCTGTCAGGCAGTCAAGAGGAGCTGCGCAATGGTTTGTCCACGGAAATGAAAAATGGCAGTTTGTCCTCTGAAGGAACAGCAGACAGCCCGATGCTTGGTTCCCGATGTTTTAAGCCCTATCTAATTAATCCCTGTTACATCAAAACCACAACTAGGCAACTGAGTTCTCCCAACCATTCACCTTCTCCCTCCCCATCCCAGAGCCCGCTTTTCACCAGGAGGCAGGAGTCCTTCCACAAGAAGGAAAAAGTCTCGGTCAGGAAGAAGAGGTCTGCTAGTTTGGCAGGTTTGTTCAGTCGCTCTGCCGACTGGACAGAAGAGGTGTCTAATCACAAAAGCGAGGTAACGGAGAAGGTGAGCTCTGCAGACTATTTGGAGCACAAGGGGTTTAGAGAGAAATTTCAAACGGAAAGAGTGCCTTTGACTCATTCAAGGAAGTCCTCAGGGGTCCAGGCTTCTACAGAGACATTTCCCAATGTCTTTTCAGGTGAGTGATATGTATTAACAGTTGTTTTGGGGTTTTTTTTCCCCCCACAACAGCTTTGAAAATATTTTTAAATACTTTAATTCCTTGCATGCAATACTTTGCATGCATTATCTTCTTTATGTGTGCCAACAGCTTTAAAATCCAAGGCCTGATCTTACAAACACAGCCACATTTCATCAGTCTGGCAGTACTGCCAGTAAAGGAAGTGCATAACTCTTTGAAGTTTTTCTTTCTACTTGTCTCCTTTGTCTACATCCTGTAGGAAAAGGCTGAATGCCTTAAATTATTCTTGTTGAAAAATGCTAAAAGCTGCACTGTTGTAGGCAGACCAACTCTCTGCATAAATAGATCTTTCAAATGTAGAGCTTTCTGTAACCAGGATCCTGTTTGGGGTTTTCTTATGCTAGGTGCTTTTCCAGTGTACTATAAACATATGAGAGCTGCACCTGGTGTTAGACAGAGGCAATGATGAGGATTTGCTTAGTACAAAAAGGAAAAAGCCATGCAAGCACAGATGGACAGCACTTCAGAAAGGAACTGATTTCCTCTTCAGAAGGGGGCAGGGGGAGAAGAAAGAAATGTTAATGCATTGAAAGGCAGCAAAAACAGGGGAGGAGAAGGGAAACTGGGGGTTGTACGACTTGGTAGCTGTGACAGGCTGCTGCTCAGGCTACATAAGGTGACTCATTCAGTTAAGTATTCTTTACCTTGCCTGTTAGGCAGCTTGCATCCTGTCACGAAGACATGGGAACAGAAAGTTCACAAATGAAGTAGTGTGAGTAGATGGTTATATTTTCCTTCTGAGTTTTTTTTCCCTTTCCCTTCCCCCCATCTGAATTTTCTTTCTAAAGGTAATATATTCATAAATAGGAACACTTCTGCCACATAGGAGGTATGTATGGAGAGAAAACTCAGCAACATATTCCATGTATTTTCACTTAAGGAACCTGTAGAACATAAAATAAGAGAACATACCCTAAGAGCACCTGCTATTAGATAAAATCAGTTTTGTTTTTAATGAAGTCAGCTCTAGATGCATGAGGACAGCAACCATATATGTGCACATGCTCTTTCAAAAATGGAGATTTTTTTTTTGTGGTATTATGAAAAGTAAATAAAAGATTATGATTTATGAAGTAAATAACTAAAATTATTTTCTAGATTCAAATCACAATGCTTTCATTCTTCAGTATGAACAAAAGTTCCCAATTTCAGCCTAGAAAATTCAAATTAAAATTTTTTAACAAAGAAAAAGCCAGTCCCCTCTGAGACTAGCCCTCTGTGAAGTGAGCTGAATCTTTTTTTGTTTTGTTTTAAATCACTTTTATCTGTTTATTAATTTCAGACACGCTACCTAAACTTTTCCACTTTGAGGTGTTCACTGCTTTCAGATTTATAGCATATAAAAGCACACTTGTTTTTTTTTTTTTTTAGCTATCAACATTTAACAGCTTATAAACAACCCAGAAAATTTTTAATTGCCACATCAGTAATTAGATTTTATGGTGATGCTATGATGGAAATAAATTTTATGCGTCAAGCTTCAAGAACATGGTATTTCTTTTTTAGATACCTGATTTCTGAGAAGTAGACTTTTTCACATTTCCTCACAATGTCTTGATTTACTTACTAATAATTTTTGTTTTGGTTTGTTTTTTTTCCCACCAATGCTTTAGACTGTTATTGTGAAGGGACCAGTGTCCAATGCAACAGTAGTTCTGTCTCTTATGGAAATTACAGTGACCCTCATTTGCATGTACATACCGGCTGTCTTTACGGGCAGAGGACAATTATATCTTTCAGTTCATGCAGAAAAGCTTAAAGCGAGGGAACTGGAAATGACTCATCTCTGTTTGGCCATTCATAGTTTTAAAAATGCATTTACAAGCTAAAATTTATCAAGAATATAAAAATAACAACTAGTGTACATAAAAAAAAGGGAAATTAAACTTCACATTACTATTTCCATAAACTGCCATTGCTGTAAGAGCAGAAAATCCTCTTTCAATAAACCATTCTGTACAGCAATTATTACAGAAATAATTTCCCTGTAACTTGATACTGCTTGTAAAAAATGTTGTGTTTTACTTGCATACATGAGATACTTTGATTTGGGGATTAGCATCAGGCTTTTAGAAATAACATTCTTTATTGTGGGATATTTATAGTTAAAAAAAACCCAAAAACAAAGTAAAACCAATCCCAAACAACTTCTTGCCTACAGCATTAAATCCCATTTTGTTGTTCAGTGACTGCAGTGCTGCTCTGCCTTTCTAACTGGGATCAAGTAAAATATTCCACAACACTCTATCATCGATTTCAATGACAGCAGGTTCTATGCAGATGATTGGCCTACTTTTGCACCATGTTGTGGTTTGGCTGTGTCCCATTTGGTTTTCACAGTGAGCCATGCTAACTCTTTAAGTCTGCTTTAATGTAAAATGTAGATGGAAGCCAAGGACTTGAACAGCAGAGAATTTGCATATTTTAATTTTGCTTTATATAAGAAGAAAAGTACAGAATTTTGAGTTTGATACTCTTCTTATGAAAGTGGTATGGACAAGTTTATGGGCATTTTGTAATTCAGGCATTGGATCTATTTCATTTTTTATGTGGACAGATGTATTTGAATTTGTAGTGACAGTAATTACAAGTTCTTGATTACTCAATGCACACTGGAGCCATGGTTTTTTATGGTCCCAGGAGAACAAGGGCTCAACAATAGTTGGTTCTCTCACTTTGGTGTGTGGCAGTGAATGATTTGCACTAACTTGAAGTGAGTATCTTGGTGGGAAAATGAAATTTATGTTTCCAAGCATTAACATAACTGAAATGAAAGAGCCAATAGACAGATTTTTAAAGGATGTAATTCTTGCATTAATTTGAGGTGCAGTGATTTCAGAGGAGCTAATAAGGGTGTCTTATACATAAATTGAATGAGTCCCATCAGCTGCCCCAGATGGTAATTAAACTTGTCCCAGACAAACCCATGCCCTTCCTAATCTCTGCTGGTTGGTTGTAACACTCCTGCTGCATGAAGATCTTTCAAACAATTTATCTTTAATTTTTTCTTCAGAGATTTATGTTTTTTTCTGCTCTATCTGTAAAGAGGAGACAAACAAAAAGTCCTGGTTACCATAAAACAAAACCTGAAGCCGGTGCTGTGCTTGTGTACTCATGTCTGCTTTCTGATTTCTGACACTTTATTTCACTTTTGTACTGTGCTAATGCCATCTTCCCACTTGCAATAGCAGTGCAGTGTCTACAGGCATATACAAAGGTTTAGTATAGATAAGTATGTGAAAGCTTGAAAAAGTTGGATCAAAGTTTGTTTCTGAGACATAAAGTAGATCTTTCTAAATGCTTTTTCAAGGCTTTTTTTTTTCCTTTTTGATTCATGTGATGCTGCACACAATATGGATTTGTATCTGTTGGCATCCTGAGTAGACTGTTTATCATGCAGCTGTTATTTAAGATTACTTATGGTTTGCTGTTTCACTGCTGATGTTTGTTAGCAGTAATACAAATGATTCTTTTATCAGATGGGTGTAGCCTCCTCTAACTAAGGGAGCTGCCCAACAGCAGCCCTACATGTGGTATGTGATCACACGCTACAGAGTGTTGCTAGCAAGTATCTGAAGGAGAAGATCCTCCTATTTTTGCCTTGTACACACAAAACTTGGGGTGAGGGGATGGCTCCAATACTGCACTTCAACTGCACTAAAATGTGTTTGAAAGTGGGCTGCAATATATTATTGAAAGAGTGCTGAGTGCTGATAAATTACTTTAGTGTTACTGTGCCAGCACTGCAATATGGGATTTGGAGCAACATGACTAATTTCACTGGAATTCAGTACAGCCACAGGCTTGTTTTGATGGGATCTCATGATTAATACTTTGATCTTTATCTAGAACTTCACTGGGAGTAGCGGGTTTTGGTCATGGGATCGAGTGGCTCTCTTAGGCAACCACATTCTGAGGTATGACTGGCAGCCTGACGTGTCTGGAGTACCAACATGTGGTCCTGGTTGTCTGATGGTCTTTTTTGGGGTGCAAAGGGAAAAAGAAAAAGGGAAAACTTATAGCTGAGGTCTACGCATCTCTGCTTGGTTCTGAGACTAATATCTGTCACACAAGACATCTATCTGGAACTGACCATTAAAGGATGTTGTGTGCTTCAGTGACTTCATTTCTGTGAAATGAGCAGTGGATTATTCCAGTGGGAATAATTATGTGGAGTTTGTTTGATTATATTTCTTGGATCTAATTTTGATTTTTTTTTTTTAAATATGCATGTCTTTTTTAATAGCTTGGGGCATGGTTGGTCTATTTAAAAAAATAACAAAACCAACTGTGTGTAGGACTTATTTGAAGAAAAAAAAATCATCTTGTTCTTGAAACAGGTCTTTTTTTTACCTGTCTAAGGAAAAACAAACTTGGATTTGAAAAGCAGCTCTAGAGATATTTTAGGCTGATTGTATATGAAGGATTAAGTTTTAATGTGAATCATGGTGATAAAAAAAACTACACAAATACTAGTTACCCAAGGTATTTTGTTTGTTTAGTGTTTTAATCAAGCTTAGGATATGGCCAAGTGTATTGAACTACTTCTGCCAAAATTTCAGCTTACATAAGGAGTAGCGGTGATGAACCATATATGTGTAGGTGCGGGTGACTGCAGCTCTGGTTATTTTTAGGTACTTTTAAAAACACCATTCTGTAGCAGTTAGCTGGACTGCAAGTTTCCAGAAACTTTATGCAGGCAGTTGATCTTTTTTGGGAATGGGGTGAGTTGGTACAAAGGGAACAGGGCAGAAGCAGAAAGAAGCTGTGAAAGGAAGGTGATGGACAGATGTTAGGACATTACATTGTGTCACTTCATTCCTGCCTCTTCATATGATAATAGAAGGCCAGTTGCATTCCATTAAGTGCTTTAGAAAAGGCAGAAAAGTGGGTTCAGGGGCTGTATTGTGCTATTATTTTCTCTAAGAAATAGCAGC